GTCGGCATACTGAATATTGTTAGGATGAGCTGAGGAATGCCCTAGACCCCATTTTACATGGAGGGATTTCTTCAGCAGCAAAGAGCATTCTCCTTTTAGCTAGGCCTTATGAGGAAAAGGGGATGTAGACGTGGCATCTGTCATTATGGAGCTCGCAGTCTAGACAGAATCTGTGGAATTTTAGACTTGCAATAGCACGGAAATGATTCAGTGATGAACTTCTGTCTTACTAACTTCGTTTTACTAGTGAGAGTTGTGTGGTTGAGAATTGATGAGAAGAAATAGGTCCTTTTTGTCAGTTACTTGTTAAAAGTTGTAGATTTATTTTCCTCTAACTTGTCACAATGATTAAGCTTTCTTGAGAAAATAACTTGGAAGCCTGTTGGAGGTTAATTTTTGTTTTTTGGGTTTTTTTTTGGATATAAGTGGAAATCTGTTATTTGCAAGGTAAGTTTAGCGTACGGGTCAGGTGTGTGTTCTGGGCTGGGCCACCAGTGGAAAGTGGGGGAGAACTTGAGCCTACTCTTCAAAAACGGATACTGGGGACCAGAAGCGTCTAGGGGTATGGGATCTTCAAGTGGAGGATGGGACACTTGAGCCATGCTAGAACCAGATTACTTTCAAAATGGTATTCAGCCATGTGACTTTTTCTTGGAGAAGAGAGTATAAAAACTCTGTCACCAACCAAGGCAGGGTGTAGACAGATGCAGAGATGTCTCCAGCTGTCCTCCTTTCATTTGTCATAGTGGAGGCCGATGACATGAGGTGACCATGAGCAGTAAGACCTTATGAAGGGAAAGGACCAGACTGGCAAGTTGGGAATGTGTGGTAAGGAAGAAGGAGGTGGACAGAATCTTTTTGACCTAAATGCATCACAGTTGTATGAAGTGGTGGCAGCAGTGGTGGGTGGTTGTGTTCTAAAGAGCGTTGACTGTGAGTTTGTACAAATCTGTGCTTTTGCTCTAGAAACCTTTGGTACTCTTGCTCCTGACTGACTTTTCTGCAGACCGAGCTGTAGAATCTGCTGGAAGTCAGGTCCCCTGAGTCCTCTTAAATTCTTCACCATTTCCTTTTTCTTTGTATTAGGAGAAGCCTCCACTTTTGTATTCTGCCCTTGCTATATAGACAGTAATTCAAGCTGGGGCCTGCCAAACTCCCAGGCCTATGAGGTTGTTCCCATATTTTTCTCCTTTTTCTTTGTATTAGGAGAAGCCTCCACTTTTGTATTCTGCCCTTGCTATATAGACAGTAATTCAAGGTAGGAGCAAACCAGTGCTGGGGCCTGCCAAACTCCCAGGCCTATGAAGTTGTTCCCGTATTTTTCTTCTGAACTTCGTGTGCTTTGTCCAGATCTCTCTGCCCAGGGGACAAGACCTTTGCCCTTGTACCATCCAGACTCTCACAGATGCCATGCTCACTTCTGGTGCCCAGGTGGGGCACAGAGGTAGTGGGTGAGTTGCAGGGCAGCATCTTTACTCTGAGGATGGGCAGGATAGGAAACTCGTGTTGGATGCTAGGAAGCACATGAGAACAGAGTGGGTCCAGGGAAAGCCTGGTCGTAAGTTCTGCAAGTTTCTTTTACTGAAAAATAAATAGGAACTTAGTAAAGAAGACAGGTCACCTGGACTTGAAGGCTTTCATCGATTGCTGGGATTGGGGGTGGGCTTTCCTCCACTGCAGTGGGACTTGGCTCAGGGAGAATAATGGTGGCCCTGAGAGGGACTCCTTGGAGGCTAGGTAAAAGCATATGGGCAAGAATTTGAATAATTCAATTTCGTTCCACCCCGAATTCTAGCTGTCATCCGCATTACTGTGTAACAGAGAAGGCTGCTGTGATAGCCCAGCTCGTCCGAGGTCTTAAGCTAATGCTGAGCTGGGTGAGGATCCAGCCTGCTGACTGCTCTCGGGGTATTCTCCCTGTACCTGCTATGACTGTATGGAGGGGCACCCGTCACCTTCACATTGAGCCAATCCAGTCAATCTAGAAAAACCACTTCCACCAGCTGCTGGGCAAATCCATTTGCATCTAGAGGGGAGGCAGTGGTGTTACTCGAAGGGTCTTCATCGTGAGAAGTTTGAAAAGTTGGAAACCCATGAGGGGAATTTAGGCTGGCAGTGCCTCCCCAAATGTGAAGGCGGGGCACCCCCGAGTCTGTTTCTCCTGACAGCCACCCCTGAGAGGTAGGGACCCCCGGAAGCTAACAGCTGACTAGTAAAAGATGAAGTTAAACGGGAACCCATACCTTGCAATCAGCAGACCTCACTGATTATGGGCAGGAGGTTCTCCTGCTCGACCAATTGTGAATAAAGCCTTTGTCACTCCATGGACCACGTCCTAGAAAAACAAACATCCATCATGCCTGGACAAGTGACAGCACCATTCTGCTATCGTATACATTTGTGTGTGTTCACGCGTATGCACAGGCACTCACATACCTTAGTGTTGTTATACTTGGAAACATACTTTGCCCGAAACACTATTGGTGGCTTTTTAAATTTGTCCTAGTATCCAGCATTGTGAAATATATTTAGAGTTAAGAATGTTCAATTAAAATGTTCTGTACTGTTAATATTTCTCAATTCGGATGGATCAGCTGTGGCCAAGAGTGAGATAACATGGGGGTGGGGTGTCCTACAGTGTCATGGTGAGGGTGTGTGCATGTGTGTATGAGATTGAGAAATCATTTGTGTTTGGCAAGGGGATAAAGGGAAAGTAAGCAAACAAAACAGTGTGATTGAGAAAGAGTTCTGGGAAGAGGACTGTGTGAGCTCTGTCAGAAGGCTGCACACTGGACCCCGTATGCCATCCTCATGCTACAGTGGCCCGCAGGCCGTGGCACTAAGGAGGCTCACCCGGGGACACCACATGCTCTTGACACACTGCTGGGTGCTCTCTCTGGGGTCTGCAAGGTGGTGGCACTGGGTGGCTGGGTTTTGTTGTCATGACCTGGGCACCGAAGCCCAGGTCTGGGTGCTGCTGCTGTCTGGAGAGCACAAGACTGCCTCTCCCCAGCCGTGGTTCTGTCTAGTGTCAGGACCAGCTCTCAGTCTTATTTTGTGGTCTCAGCCCATGAGCATTCTGATGACGATAGGCTGTTGCTCTCAGAGGGCCTGGTTCTCTTCTGCCTTACCCCTCCACCTGCAGAGCACTTCTGGCTGCCCCTGCCCGCTCTGTTCTCCAGGCCCAGGCCCCTGGGGAAGTTGCAGAGTCTGGGAGAGAGGCAGAGGCAGGATGCAGGATTCGGCAGTGGCGCATAAGGGTCTGAGAACAGGAGTGTGGGGGAAGAAAGTCCACCTTGCCTGGTTCCCTGTGTCGTACTGTCTCCACTGCTGGCTCATGTCTGACTGCAGCGTCTGGGGCAGTGGTGGCGGTGGGGGAATGCCCCAGGCTGGGAGTCAGGATCGAAGCGCTGTTGGAAGCTGGGCCATCCAATCATTCGCAGACTTACTCAGAGCTTCCTCTGTGCCCGTCACTGCAGTGGGAGCTGGAGAAAAGCTACAGGTGTTACTGGGACTTCTATCTTCCTGTGATAATATATGCCCAGCCCGCCTCATGGAATTGTGGTGATGGCGAAATGAGATACCACGTATGAAAGTACTTCACAAAGCCCAAAGTGACCTCAGGTTGAGCATCCCTAATTTGAAACTCTGGAATCTGCAATGCTTCAAAATCTGGAACTTTCTGAGCACTGACATGACACCCAAGCAGAAAATTCTCTATGTGATAGGTTGCAGTATAGGACAGTGTATAAAATTACCTTTGGGCTATTAGTATAAGGTGTTTATGAAACAAATATGTCTCGTGTCTATACTTGGGTCTCATCCCCAAGATATTTCATTATACGTATATGCAAATATTTCAAAATCCAAGAGAATCTGAAATGCTTCCATTCCCAAGCATTTTGGATAAGTGGGACACAACCTGTGTTACTACCTTACATTTATAGAGTGATGTTCTCTACTGGGTCACCGGGAAAGTCAGGACGCATTTTTGCATAGAAACACATAGAAAAATACATCACGACTTTCCCAACAACCTTTTTTGTTTGTTAATTGCCAAAGGGCACATGCGCTGGCCAGACAGGGAAAAAGCATTCCCCAATGGGGTATGGTCATGCTACAATCCCTTCTCCATTTCTCCAGCCCATTGGGATTTTGGGCATGTCAATCACACATACCCGGTTTCTGTCTCTAACCACTGGGGCCAAGATTCAAACCGTATGGTTGCCTATGTGGGATCTGACTCCCTTGACCACTAGACCCTGGGGCTGACTCATTGAGTTTCTTAAAACCCTTATTTCTGTTGGGCAAGATAGAGAGAAGACACTTCTAAACTGGGGCTGTAGGGGCTCGGTGTGTGCACTGGGCCTCTGCAGTTCTACGAACATCCAGATGTCCTGAGAGACAAGCACCTTGCATCTATAAAGACATCCAATCATTCGCAGACTTACTCAGAGCCTCCTCTGTGCCCGTCACTGCAGTGGGAGCTGGAGAAAAGCTACAGGTGCTACCCTCCTGAGTCTAGCAGCTGGCAGCAGAGCCAGGCATGTCATGGTCACAGCATGGAGAGGGCCGCGCCGTCACTGAGATAAGCAGAGGCCTGGGGGCCTCCATCTGTGATCTGGGCCAGCTCCACAGTGAGCATTATGTCCATCTGACTGTCCGGGATACTCTTTCTCCCTCCCTCCCTCTGAAACGGGATCTGATTCCACCTTGGTCTGCGCACCAGGAGGTGAGACAGTGGGAAGTGCCTTGTGCTCTAGCCCTAGGACAAGGCCAGGCACAAATGCCTCATTGGCAGCTTTCTCTGGGAAGGCGGGCGATTTAGGCTGACTGAGGATCCAGGGGTGCGTCTCCCTCAGTGTCACCCGAGCTCCCTGCGTTGGCCTCCCTTCCTCCTGTTCACCTGGCAGAGCGATGGGGGCAAAGCCCCCAGATCGGGGGGCCTGCCTTCTGTCTAGCCAGAGCAGCGGCAACCTATCTTCTCCTTTCCCCTACAGGAAGCTGCACAGTGGGATGAAGACGTACGGGTGTGAGCTCTGCGGAAAGCGGTTCCTGGATAGTTTGCGACTGAGAATGCACTTACTGGCTCATTCAGGTAGGGGGGATGCTGTAACTGGCCCACTGGGGCTACCTCCTGCCCACCTTCACCCCCATGGAGAGCCTGCTTGGGCCTGGATGTGCTCACTGCCAGCCGCGGCCTTGGTCCACCTTGGCCCTGGATCTTCCCTCCAGGTTCATGGAGCAGAAAACCCACCCTGCCGGTGTGGTCACCCGGATGAACCCAGCTCATGCTTCCTGGGCTTCCTGGCGCATCATGGGTACCCAGTGCCCTGTGTGATCTACCTTCCAAAGTCGACTGCAGTTTCATTAGCAAAACAGTTGTGGAATTAGGTTCTCACTGTCTAATGAATCTGACTATTGGGTTCACATTATACAGGAGCCTTTAATTAAATAGATATAGAAAGGTTGGAACACAAAGCTAGTTATAGCGTGCTGTCTTTTGCAAGTTAATTTTATCCAATTCTAGTGGGGTCGACTCTGTGGCTGCTGGTAATTTTGCTCATGTTTGGGCAGAGCTGCTCAGCCCTGTGAGGCGTACAAAGGGGAGAAACACCTGACACACTGCATCCTGGGTGTTCTGGTGGAGGAAGGACTAAGGTCTGATGCTACTGCTTTGAGGCTAAGGGGTTACCTGCCTTCTCTTGTAGAGGCCTCAACACACTGCCAGGGGTGTTCTCTCTTCCCTCTGATTCCTTCACCTTCCGACCTTGGAGTCACTTTGTAGGGGCCAGGGGAGGCTGTCATCTTACCTGTTCTTGTTACCCCCTCGTGCTGGCAGCTGCCAGTGCCCGCTCCTTCTGTCTCTGCACTGCTTCCAGTAGCTGGCTCTCCAGGCAGTTTCAGCATTTGCAAAATGAGTGTGGACAGATGAGGTAACTGGGTGACTTGGGCCACATCTATCTTGTGAATCCCAGTTTCTTCTGGCAGGTGGCATGGTGGCTAAGGGCTCTGGACTCCCATGTGACCAATCACAGTTTGTGTCCCAGACCTGATGGCTTACTTTCTCACTTTCCCTCTCTCTCTCTCTCTTGCCCTGTCCCTCTTTGTCAAAATTTAAAGAAAGGAAGAAAGAAAGGAAGAAAGAAAGAAAGAAAGAAAGAAAGAAAGAAAGAAAGAAAGAAAGAAAGAAAGAAAGAAAGAAAGAAAGAAATAATTCAAAAAAAGTTTTTTTTTGGCTACAGGGTGTGTGTGCTTAATGGGGAGAAAGAGAGAGAGAGAGAGAGAGAGAGAGAGAAGAAATCGTCCCCTAGGAGGATGGCCACACTACAGACCCTTCTCTTCCATTCTCCTCTCAGAATTTTGGGCATGCACGCACATGCACCTGGGATGTTTTTCAAACTGCCAGGTCTGGGACTTGAACCACTCAGTCAGCCATGTGGGATCCAGCTGCCTTAACCACCGTGCCATTGGCTGGGCCATAAACCCCAGTTTCTGCATCTGTCGAGTGCAAATGTTACCAGCTCATATAATTTTGAAAAAATTTTTTAAGAATTTTTTGAGGGTTAGGTGTCAGGATATATGTTAAAGGCATCTTAATGAGCCCCTGGCATACAGTCGGTATTTAATAAATGTCATTGGCATCTGCTTGTATCTTCTTCCCCTTTCTCCATTTCCCCTGGCCTGTCCCCATCACTTACTCTGGAAGCTTCCTGCCTGGCAGGCTGTTTGCATTCTGTTTCCCCTCCAGCCGATCACATGCAAATCAGGTAAATGCTCTTTGGTTGCTTTCTATGCTGAGCCACCGCCTTGCTGCAGAGAGCATTGGCAGTAGTCTCTCTCCCTGGCCTTCACGACCCTGCCTACAGTGCCCCAATTCCTCCTCGCTTCCTGTTCGCTCTTCTTCCAGATCCGGACATTTGCCACACCAGGTGGTGGCTGTCTATCCCGGCAGGCCTGCTTTGTTTCTGTGTGTCTGTCCTCCTGCTAGAGGGTCTTCCACATCCCCACACTTTGCTCCTCTAGACCATCCTCGCCCTGCTCCCCTGTGTCACCTCAGCCCACAGTCCTGAGCCCAGGAGTCGCTGTGCTCGGCGTCGGCTTTGTCTTCTGGTTTAATGACTTATACCTTGTGTCTTGCTTCCCTTAAGCGCTGCGTGTTTTTTAGAGCTTGGCATGTGGTTTCACGAACTGTCAGCCAACCTGGTTGGCCATCTTTCCTTTATCCTGAGAGCAAAGTATGGGTCTTCCTTTTGTTTCATACTCTGCTCCAGACACCAGTGGGGGGGGGGGGGGGGGGGGAGAGCAGTGCCTCTTGGGGAGGCTTTCCTGGCCTTCTGTAGCTTAGTCGGTCAGCATCCTTGCTCGTCGCTTCCCTTGTGTCCAGTGCTATAGCTAGACCCATCTATTTTGTTGGCTCGCTGTTTTGGGTTGTTGTTTTAATCGTGGTTTCCAGTTTACGTGGCAATTATTAAACGTCTTTGTGGGACCTAGTATGGTTTTTCAAAGCATGTGTATAGTGCGAATAATCAGACTAATACTGAATGTTAGTTACATTATGTTGTACACGTTCGATAAGAGTTTAAAAACTTTTTTTTTTGGAAGTGTAGATAGAATTGTCATTGACATTTACTCTGCTGTGGTATGCCATTCCATAACTTAGTCCACTTGTTTACATGCATTGTTGTGTCTCTTGCTCATTTCTCTTGTCCATCCTCCCCCACCCTGCCCCACCATCCCTGTGCAGCTTCTGGTCTCTACCACTGTTCTCCTCACTTGCACACCATCACACCCAGGGGAAGCAGAGGCATAACTGCCTCAGCGAGCGTCCCTGCTCTTCATGCTTTTCCTTGAGTCTAGTGCTTCAGCAAACCCACCTGCTTGCTGGCATGCTCTTTGTGGGCTTGCTTTCTGAGCTCCATGGCTTCGTTTGCCCTATTTGCTTGAACTAACCCTTCTCCTGTCTTCCCTGGTCTTCTCAGGTCCCTTCCACGATGCCATCCTCAACTGTTCCTCACCTCCAGCCAGAAGCAAGCGTGTTTTCCTTTGGTTGCCCGTATTGTTTTTATCTACAGCTGTCTTTGGGTACTGTTGTTCTTTGAGTTAGGGTTATTCGTGAGCTTCCCTATCTTCTTCAGGAGCAGGATGATATGGTGGAAGGAACTTGGGCATCCACCTCCTGATGGGATGGCCTTGGACAAGAAAAGCGAACTCTCCGAGTCTCAGTATCTTCATCCATAAAATGAGAATGTTTACAGTAGACTTTTGATCAACGTCATTGCCCTTTACCTCTGTGCTTCCTAGTAGACTGCAGACCACTTGGGGACAGGAATCAGTAAGTGTTTGTTGAGTGAATGCGTGTGACATGTAAGGCCAGTGAACAATGGTAAGAAGCCCTGGTACCCTGCAGGAGGACCTGCTTATGTCTGAGGGGGTCCCTGGAGGGCAGCCAGGAGCCCCCTGGACTGTTGCAGGCAGTGGGCTTGAGTGTGAGTTAGCACTGTCTCTGCATTATTGGCTGGTGGAAGTGGCAGAGAAAGGAGCAGCTTAAATACTTGGGGTGGGCCCCATGACCCAGTTCAGTCATAAGATAGTGACTTTGCACCACTCTCAGAGCAGCTGGCCGAACCCTGGGAAGTTCAGTCATAAGATAGTGACTTTGCACCACGCTCAGAGGAGCTGGCCGAACCCTGATGAAGTGCTTCCCGGTCCTGCCTGAGAGGCCACTTTAAGGGCCTCGTCTCCTATGAGCATCCAGAGGCTTCAGGAGTTGGGTCCTGTTTTCCGAGTTTTTTTCCCCATGTGACTGTGCCACGTGATTCAACCCTCTGATAGTCACTTGCCAATGCCCTTGTAAAGGAGGATTTCGCGATGGGCAGGTGCAATGAGTCATGCAAGTGCTTTAATTCACCCTTGCAGATAGCTCAGCCTACAGAGTCTGACTTTTCTGTTCCCTATTTACCCCCCGCCCCGTTCTCCTGCATGTCTTTCACTCTTGTGCTCAGATGTCTTGAAAATAAAGTATCACGAAGGGTTATGTGAGGCCAGACCACTTCCTGAATTGTTTGCCCCCCTGTAAAACAAGCGATGTCCACAGGGGCCTCTGGAGAGATCTGACCTTGTTGGGGAGTTAGGGGTCTGAGACTTGGCAGTTCCAGGGCTGGGCTTGGGCTTGGCGGTTCCAGGTGTTCTCACAGATTCCAGTAACATTTTCTTTTTAAGTTTATTTATTCTGTGTGTGCGTGAGAGAGGGAGAGAGAGAGATACCCAACAGAGTCCTCACTCCATGATGCACCCTGGTCTCAGCTGGCCAGGATTGTAGGCATATGCATCTGCTCAGGGAGGCCCCAGGACACAGCCCGGGCCCTTTCCCTATGGGGCCAACTGCATTCCCGAGGTGCCACACCCTGGCCCCCGTGGGGATTTTACGCATTATGACTCTAGTTCCCAGGCGCCCGATTACAGAATAGTGTGAGGTTTCTGAAGAGATGTTTAATTAAATGACTTGAGATGTTTTTTGCTACTCTGTTTCTAAGGCTCTGTGCAGGGAGCCAAGAGTGAGAAGAGAACCTTCGGGATGGTAGTGTAGACCCATTTTACAGGAGTTAACCAGGAGTGGGAGAAGTGGAGCAGAAGCTGGAAGAACAACAGGAGTTCAGAACCCTGGGGGTCGTTTTTAAACAAGGAACCGAAGTCAGTCTGGGATCTGGGTGGAGGGGTCCTGGTCCTACCTAGCTCAGGCACATTCCT